AAAATAAGAAAAACAAAAACTAAAATGACTGTCATGGAGAAGATGAAAAAGGAAATACTTTGAGAGATTGAAATTTAAACAGAACAGATCTACCTGTCCATACAACAAGACCAAAATTAGTGATCATAAACAAAGAAAGAAGACCTGCCAAATTGTGAATATTGTGAATGATGTAAACAAGAATAAATAAGATTCTTTAAAAAAAAAAAAAAAATAGGTCACTTGAATGAAATGAAAAATATAAACAAGCAATCTGTAAAATGTCCTTTGAAATTCTCTCTAATTGTATAAATGAAAAAGAAAAAGTTAAACCCATTTTTGCTATTATGTGCATAAGAAAGCTATGAAGAATAAGCAAAAAGAAATGAAAGGCAACAAAATGATTTCTTTGCATAAGATGTTGTCTGTAAAAGAATTAAAAGGAAAATAAAACGGAATATTGAAAGGAAAAAAAGATAGTGGCAGTGAAGAGGAAGGAAGAAGAGGAAGAGACTCAGCAAAAAATAGTTAAGTCTGAATAGCCTGAAATGAAAGTGTTTCATTTTCCTACAGTTTTAAAATTTCCTCTGTTCTTTTACTGCTGCTAACAGATGGGACAAACCAATGAGTCACCAATGAATGCAACCCACACACATACAGACTAACACACGGAGACTGTAAAACACAAAATCAAACAAAAATGCATGAAAATCTATGTAATGGCTGACAGTTTTGAAATAACAACTCTGTGGTTAGCAGTTTGGCCTTAAGGTCATGGTTGTATATGGCTAACATATAAGTAATATGTAAGTAATATAGACGACGACCATTAGCTATGAATCTCATACAGACACCAAACATCAATATTAGGATTTATAGATAAACTACTGTAAAAATATTTTTAGTAATGATGAATATCAATTAAATGAAATTGAGTATGGTTCCATATATCCTGCTAAAGATTAAGAATCACTAGCAAAATAACTTGTGGTTAAAGAAAAGATAATATCTGAAACTGTTACTAAAGAACCAAGGAAAATATTCAATGCTATATTTGAATAAAAATAATATTGTTATGACTTCAATACAGGTGTAATTGCCTCTCATAAGAAATTAAAGAACTTCCATTAATTTCTTGATTGGTCATTACACAGGTATAAAAATATGTATTTAAGGAGATAATTCAAGAAGATCTTAAATTCAACAATAATGGTAATGATTACAGTGAAATTAAGCACTCCTATTATTGTTGAATTTAAAATCTTTACAGGAAATATTTGGCATTCCTTGACTGAAAACTATTGGTTAGAATATATAAACTTTTTTTTTATTAAAACATGTTTTTCAGAAAATTAAACTTTTTAAGTCCACTAACTGTTATTGCTCTTTCTAGTATGGATAGAAGTTTTCTTTTTGTCTTTGGTAGTTATAAAACTAGAAACTTAATTTATGTAGAATTCTTTTTTAATCTCAATTGACTATCGGGTTGAATGGGTTTCAACCAAGATCATTCAATTATTTTTGAAAGAAACAGAAGTAACTGTTAGGATAATTAACTTTTTCCCTGGGTGACAAATTTCCTGAATTTTTGGGTTAACCATGAAGAATTTTAAGATGAACAGAAAAAGTCTCAGGATTATCGATCGAGTCCTCAAAATACTCTCCATCCTTCTCAAACATGGTATATGAATGAGGTTATATATACCCAACTCTTAGAAACTTATCTTTTTTTTTGTTATCCATGTGTGAGTTACCTCTTTTACCACATCATCATTAGAGAACCATTGTCCTCTGAGTGCATGGAGTCAAAATCTAAGTTTGCCAAATCTGGACTGCTGTGTGAATGAAACAAAGTTATCCACACATACATTGTTATTGCTTGTCTGATTTTTAAATGTGGCCCAGTTTTCAAGTTTAGCTACATTTGAAGGTTGTTTTCAGTTTTGACAAGTCAGAATTAATACTGATGAGATGTAAAAGTATGATACCCCCCGCTCTGGACCCAAAATGCACAGTGTCTATTATATTACCTTTGAACTGTTCTATCTTAAATTTCTTAATATTTTGGGGTAGAGCCATTTCATTGATATTCTTTTATTCATAGCAATGAAACCAGATTTCATCATTTGTGACTGTTCTTCTGAGGAAGGTGTTCATTTGTGTTGTGCAGCTCCAGAAGGTCTTGGTCAGAAACTATATATTGTTCTTTCAATGAATCTATCAGCATCCCAGAAACTAATTGAGTAACCAAAATATTTCATTAAACTGAAAGACACTTGTAGGCTTTTTTACAGTGTTTTGCAAAAGTGATGTTTCTGTCAGTTGTAATGAAAGTCTCAGCCTGTTTGGGCTTCTTCATAACTGCAGTTTATCTGCTGCAGTGGGGACTATTGCAGTTTCTCCTTTTTCACTAGGATTGACATTAATTGCACTGACCCATCTCCTTGTTATATTTATATCAAGTTCAGTCTTTCAACAATCACTCACCTCCTGTTAATGTGTACAGTACTTTCTTTAAAAAAAAAGAAAATTCTATGACAGCTCTTTGCTTCCTGTATGCCTAGTAAAGCGGCCATAGAAAAAGAGAAGGTAACTCTGCAAATTTTCCCTTGAACTTCTAGATACTTTCTCTTTTATAGTTAAAAAACACTACAAATTCTTGAATTCTGATTAATACTTTTAAAATTAAATGAGAATAGTCATTATTATTTTGACCACCTCGTGTGTGTGTAAAATGTATGATTGATGTGCAGATTTCATTTTACACAGGTTTTATTAAAGATCACAAATTGACATTGGTAATTTTTAGTAATTTTATTATTTTCTCTTCTAAAGTAAAAGTTTTGTTTCAGTTTCTTTAAATCTGTTAGTATGCATATGTTCAAACACTTTCAAACATAATTAATCATTTTCAAGAATGAAAATGTTACAATGTTGAAATTCAAGATAATTTTTTTTTTTTTTTTCCATTATGATGTTTGGTGAAAGAATTTGAAACCATATTTTGGCTTCATAATCTGTTGACTGCATATAACAAATGTAAAACCACTTATAGTATTTTATAAATTGGGTTTGTGTGTTAATTACAGAATTTATTTAATACACTGGTTCATAGGCTGAAAGATATTTTATTTAATATAGGTTTGAGGCTTTTGTGATTATGATTTCAAATATTTGTTGGTTAGTTTTTGTAATTTCTGTTATATAATATTTTTGTGTTGACTATCAGTTTCTATCAAATATTACTAGGAATATAATTGTCATGTGTGCTATGTTGATTAATATGAACCTTTATGGTCTGATAAGTGACATGTTAGCTGACATGAAAGTATTGTAGTAGTTTGACTTATGTATAAGATATTTTTAATTAACATTGTTATACCATCTCAAAATATACACAATATTTTTAGATTCTTGACAAAATTCAAAGAATAATCTGCAATGTTATTGGTCCTGATCTGGCATCTCAGCTTCAGTCCCTTTCCCACTGCTGTTATGTAGCGTGTCTGTGCCTTTTCTATAATTACTTCCATGGTAATTGTTCTGATGACCTTCCCAATATGAATTTAAGGGCAGTACTAGATTGGCAGCAAGGTCTCAAAAAGTTACTGTTGAAATGGCTAGATGGAAGCATAAGTTCTATGCTAACAATTTCTTCTATCCCACTTCTCACTTGTGGAACTGTCTTCTGGGTTCTTGCTTCATAGTCAACTTTGATCTTTAAAACTTTAATTGCAATGTTAATTCTCTGTCATAAACAACACTGTTGCTACTGACAAAACACATTAGTCACCACCTAACTAGGCTCACATTCACCATTTTGTTTCTGCAAGTGTTTTGCAAGTGTCAATGAATGTCAATAAGTGCAATTTTTTCTGACTGGAGGAATTCAGTAAAACACTTCTACTTTGTACAAACTTATGTCAGACACCATTTGGCCAGACTTTCACTCAGCTACTGTTTGTAAAAGGGTAAAAAATAATGAGATGTTTATGAAAAGATTCTACCTCTGCTGGTATATCACCAATGTCTGCCGCTGACAAATTTAAACCAATATAGTAAAGCAGGTGGTATTACTTATGGGACAACTTTTTGATGTATAGTTTTCCAGAAGATATAGTTTCTAAGATCATTTTGGTGTTCAATTAATTATTGAGTGCTTCAGATTCTGAATAAAATTGATTTTATCTATATTTAAAAAATGTTTCTTTAAAATCTTTCTAAATGCTCTTGTGATTATGTTCTAAATTATCATTTGCTGTAACAAATCAGTTTTGTTTAAAGTTTCTTTTTTTAACAGATCATATCTGTTTATAATATTCTGCTGAGTTAATGCCAAATGCGTTCATATAAGGACAATTGCAAATAATAGTAAATTGAAAGAAAGACATTTCAAGGCAGTATGAGTCATGGTCATAAATAGATTTAATCAGATCTAGACTTATATTGATGTCATGCATGGTGTCCAACTAATTCAAAATGTCTAAATTAGCAGTGATATACAAAGGTTTTCTCAGATTAATAATTAAAAATGGATTCAAGCTAATGAACCACCTCATGGGTCTTAAAGTTCTTTGCTGGATCTCACTGACTGGCACTAACAAACCACAAACAAAGAACTATACCAAATGATAGAAATCAAGTCCTTTGCGGACTACCAACAGCAGCAGCAACTAAAATGGATAATGCAAGTAAGTCAAAGAGAAAATAATGGCAAACAAGATGTTGACATTTCATCACTACATTGAACAAAAGGTTAGGAAGGAAAGCTCCCATTAATAACAGAAAACACACTAACTGTTAGTGAACTTGAGAAAATTAGTTTTCCCCCAAAATGTTATAAATTTCAACTGACAGTAAGGCTAAGTATTCAGTCAATAACTACCAAATGTTCCCTTATAAGGAAACAGATAATATCTCCATTACATTACCATGAAGTGTGTTCCCATACCTATATTTATCTAGTGATAAAAATTTTAGGGGCATTATCACTTAGGGAAATTTATCACGATTTATGAGAATCAAGATGAAGTGATAAACTGGAAGAGACATTTATCAGACTGACCACCGAGTGAGAAGAAAACTGACCACCGAGAAGAGACAGACTTAGAAGAGACAGACTGGAATTGACCATCCTTGACCACCGAGAAAGACAGACTGACCACCGAGAAGAGACAGACTGACCACCGAGAAGAGACAGACAAGACCACCGAGAAGAGACAGACTGAAAGAAGAGACAGACTGACCACCAGAAGAGACAGACTGACCACCGAGAAGAGACAGACTGACCACCGAGAAGAGACAGACTGACCACCGAGAAGAGACAGACTGACCACCGAGAAGAGACAGACTGACCACCGAGAAGAGACAGACTGACCACCGAGAAGAGACAGACTGACCACCGAGAAGAGACAGACTGACCACCGAGAAGAGACAGACTGACCACCGAGAAGAGACAGACTGACCACCGAGAAGAGACAGACTGACCACCGAGAAGAGACAGACTGACCACCGAGAAGAGACAGACTGACCACCGAGAAGAGACAGACTGACCACCGAGAAGAGACAGACTGACAGAAGAGACAGACTGACCACCGAAGAGACAGACTGACCACCGAGAAGAGACAGACTGACCACCGAGTAGAGAGAGGCAAGCAGGAATAAATGAATGTATAACTCAAAATACTGACAAGTTAAATGTATAAATGAGGCATCAAAGTTTTGATTTGACTACAGTCAGCAGAAATAAACTGATTGCTTAAGAAACAGGTTGGTCAACAGTTAAAGAATTAGATGCAAATATGGCTACAGAGCTGATGTTTATTAAATTCTAAATTTCAATGTTTGATTTGGACATTTTAGAATTGGACATTCTAAGTTACCTTTCACATGATCTTTTAAAAAATGAGTTCTTTGCCATGTACAATACAGAAAAATTAGCTTGGACATATAACCATGTTGGAGTAGTTAGTAAAGTAATTAATTCAGTGCTTATGTGGCACTCCACATTCGTGACCTTATACCAGACTAAGATTAGAAAATATCTGGCTGTCTCAGTATATAAGGCAAATTAATCTTACAAGCCATTACTATATTAGCAAGAGTGATTAACATTGAGGATTCCCTTTTGTTGCCTTTTGTCAGACTAAGGTGAGTTTACTGGAAAATTAGTTCATGAAGCAATGAAGTTTGAAATGATTGCAGTTTTCCACATTTTCTCAATTCTCTGATCTTTACAAACAGTCTGAGTCTCTGGACTAAAAATTTCTTGTATTTTTTAATTCATGTATTCCTTAAAGAAGTTTTAATTATATTTACATAATTAAATAACTTTTATAAGGTAGAAATTACTTATTGCCTATGAATTTTTATATCTACTTAAAATCTGCCCCATCAATTTTGTGTTTTTGTAAATTCATCTTTTGTGTAATCACAAATTTAGTTTTTAAAATGTATAATATATTATGAAATTCAAAAGCTATAGTGATAATTCAATTCAATAATAGTTAATAATATTTCAATATAATAATTCAATTCAAATGGTATTCATTGTTTAACTCAAAATTTTTAAAAATGAGTTTTAAAATCAATGAGAAATAATTTTTAAATTTTTTTAAAATGAAATGCTATAATAATATCACTTTAAATTTACAACATTATCAAGTTAATCATGATGAAAAAAATTTCTTCCAAATCCAAAAATTCTCCATTTAACTAATGGATCATTATTTATAAATGATCTATAATGACAAATGTTGTAGCATCTGTTACATAACTGTGGCAACAAAGGAGAAAATCAAGTCTTACCTTGGAAAAGAATATATGTTCTTTGTGATATTTGTTGAAAAAGAAAATCTGAATCAAGATCAGGCTGACATTAATAGGCCTTGAAATAGAGTAATTGTTTGGACTTCCCTACCAGTCTCAACCTTCCGAATAAAAGAAAACTACTTTAGACAACAGAATTGCTTAGCTCTTTATGCATAAAGAAATAATTGTGCATTGTGATGTGAACTTTTGACCCTTTTCATTTATATCCACAATATTTTCTGATGTTGAATTTGCAAAATTGAATTTTGACCCTTGGAATTACAAACTTGGACTTATGATTTTTTTTTAATCTGAATCTCCCTATAATGTTATTTACCTCACTAACACTTATGGAGCCAACAGAATTAAGTAAATCTTCTTGAAGAAATACTTTCTTGATATAATGCCAAATATGAATCAATGAAAGTTATATTTGCTCCTTGAAGTTGATTATTTAATGAACTGAATTTTAAAAAATATTAGGTAAGTAATGTCATCCCATTAATAAATCTTTTGTGACAGTTGTGCTTTGCCAGACACATTCAGTATGAAAAAAAATCTTATATGATTGGCACTTTTAGATTTCCTGAAAATAAAAAAAAGTTCATAACATTTCATCATGTACAGCAGATATAAAACCAAACTTCAAATATTCCTCAAAATACTAACAACATTTTGTTAAAATTACTCATCTTAAGTGGAAAATATCTCTAAACATGTAGTGGATTTGAATAAAAGCAAACTAAATGCATTATAGGATATTATATAGTTTTCTATGTAATTTTAGTAAATTAGTGATTCTAGTTGTAGAGATGACAGAACATGCAATGTTTTGTATTCTTGAAACAAATCTTTGTACATTGGTTACTAAGGTTTTGCATGGGAAGTTCAGGGTTGAAGATCAAATGTAAGGAAGAGTGTTAGTCTTATAATATAAGTGGCATTTCATTAAAATTTTAAATTATCTTCCACACCCCCAAATCAAAATCTTCTCTCTTTGTAGAACTTGAGCCATTTGACTGGAATCACTACTGTAGACATTCACTTGGATTGAATTGTTTCTGAATGGAGTTAACAATAGACAAATTATTCCAACAGACAAATTCTTTATATGGACAACTGGTAGATATATATGGAGTTGATGGGATCTCTGTGCAGAGGCAGGGTTATACAAACATGTATCTTCATTTTTGTTAAAACAAAAATGTTTTAAAATGTTTCTTGTGTCAGCACAGAATTTTGATGATCAGATCTGTAAGTTATTTCAATTGAGGAGACAGCAATAGTCCTCAAAAATAATCAAACAATACAGAATGCAACACATTCATGCATACACACAGAAGAAAAACGCTAAGGAAAATGCTGGCTGAGGCACTGTGTGGTAATATCAACAAAATGAGGATTTTGGATAAATCATTTGTGGAGAATTTGCAATTATAAAGTTAAGAGATTTTCTTTAAAGTTTTTCTTTATTTTTATTTGAAATCTGACTCTGGCATGTGAAGGTAATGTCTACAATTCATGTTTTTATAAACTAAGACGACGAATAAATATAACTGATTACAGAAGGTGAGAGAGAGAGAGAGAGAGAGTAAACTAAGAGTATAGAAGTTGAGCAATAGAAAAAGAGCATGTGTAAGAGAATAGGGGAGAGAGTGAGAGGTCAAGAAATAAAGGGAAAGTGAAAGTTATAAAATGAAAAAGAGAACAATGGAGAATGAGAAAGAAAGCTAAAGATAAGGAAACAGAACAAGAGAGAAGGAGAGTAAGAATTAATGAAGGAGAGAAAAAGTGAGAGGGGAAGAAAGTTAAAGTAAAAGAGAGTAAAAGTGAGAGTGAGAACAAAAGAGAAGAAAATTAAGAATGAAAGCATGAAAAAGAGAGGAGGAGTGAGAAAATAAGAACAAAAGACAAAGTGATAAATAAAACATGAATAAACAGTGTGTTAAAAAAAAAGAAAAAAAAAAAAAAAAGTGAAGCAACTAAAATAATGCGGCATATTTGATTGTTATTAAAAAAAGAGTAAAGAAGGAAGCTTCACAAAGAGACATCCAGGATAAATTAAACACGAGAATTGGCTGAATTGTATAAAATTTGGAATGAAATATTTCTGACTCACTGGTGGAATAAAAAGTGCTGTGTTTTAAAAACCAATCCTGTTTTCAAGTAGAAAGTAACGTTACGAATTGTAAAGAGAGAAATGGATTTTTTTCCTGTAGAGTTAATATGAACAAGTAATGTCGAGCAGACCACTATTTTAATAAAATGTGTTCAACTTTTCTCAGTACAACATTAGGCACTCTGCCAGGTTGAAGTAAGTTTAGAAAAAAGCTATACAAATATGTGTGTACTTGTATGCATGCTTCTGTGCGTGCATGTGCTTACATGTATGTGTCTATGTGTGTGTGTGTGTGTGAGAGAGTGTGCTTAATGGTCCATTAAGCAAATAGATAATATCCATGTTTATTATAATTCATTTCTCCACCCACTCTTTCTGCGAACATGTTTAGTGGCTGAGATACTTACATGTTTACATCTGGTGGGTGTAGTGTTCAAATACAGGTAAAATCCAGGGTTTTGTATGCCGATTTTCAAAACAAGAAGATCCTTCCAACATGAAAATTGGTGCATCACAATCTTACCTCATGAATAGCCAATTAAGTCTATAAAGTTAACATTACTTAAATATTTTATCTTCATTATTTAAAATTTTATTATGGCTGTTAATGTTTCAAAATGAAATTGGTTTTTACCTACCATTAAATTTTTTAGAATATACTTATATGAACAATATGTTACATGAGTTTCAGCTTATAATAACTACCCTTATTAAAATTATTGAAAATAAACTTGTCTTGCGGGTGTCAGCTTTTATCTTGCAAAGTGCCACAAATTTTTATAAATAAATTTAAATGATATCAACTGTAGAAGTAATAGTTCATATGTATAAACACAGATATAACGAGATGGGCACTGATTATTTAATCATTCTATACAACATCGCAAATAAATCTAATAGAAAACAGCATTCTTCTTTATTTATTTATTTATTTCCTCAATAGGAGCAGATAAGTTCCCCTATCATCCAGTTTGCACCCTTCCCAGTCTCTTGAAGAGCAGTAGAGCATTGTTCTTTCTTTCCTGTTTATGATTGGGTTTCCAGTTTCTTCAGAAGTATTAGCATTCTCCTTCACTCACAGTAGCCATTTGTGAGTTAGTGGCATTATCACCTTGCTTGGGGTGAAATGATTAAAAAAATAATATCTGGTAAAAAGAGAAGAAAACTAGTAGAAAAATAAAACAAATAATGCTAAAAGAACATTACTTAAATGGATCAATGTATAATGGCACCAATGTTTTGTCTGCTGAGAAAATCAGATAAAAAAAGGAATAATCTCTGTGACTTATGATCTGATTAAATAAAAGATGATAGCAAATATAAAAAAAATATACAGAATTTGTAAAAACCTATGGGCCAAATTTATTACATAATTTTGCATGTTGTATTCAGGGCTGGTGCAAGAGTCTCATAGTTCTCCACCCTAAATCTATGATATGGGACCTTGACTGTACTACACCTCAATTTTTATAAGGTAGTATTCATATAAAATACAAATTTTATTGTAACCTAATTATGTACAATAATGGATTATATGCAATAAAGGTGAACAATTCAACTAGAAAAATTGAAATGAATTACAATGTATCTAAATACAAATTAGAGACATGTCATAATAGATCATTCCATCTTAAATAAGAGACATATCATAAAAGATCATTCCATCTTAAATAAATCAATGTTTTGCAGCATTTTTTAACATCAACTTGAGATTTTTCTTCTTAAAAAGTTTAATAATTTTAACAGATTTAACATTCATTTATGTGCCATGCATGATACATACTTAGGTGATCATGTATCGAAAGATACATGATTAATGAAGCAGATTTTTTCCTGCAGTAGATTTAACATTATGGATAATACATAATGAATTTTATATTGTTTTTTGAAACTTAGCATGTGCAAAACGAACTTACAATGACACAAAAATTCAAAAATATTTCATCCTTTAGTAGTCAGTTGTACTTAGTTTAAATTGTAATATAGATAAATCTTGGTAAAAAAAAAAAAATCAAATGTTGATAAGATAGTGAAGCTCACAAAGCACTGCCCAGGGCCCACAATCAGACCCCCTACCCGATGATCAAAGGGTTTGGGAGTAGTACACAATGACCCTGGTTATATTGCATATACTCTAAACTTGTTTTAGTTTGTTTTCTCACACTGAGACACAGAATAGATAACATAGATGTTTATTTTCATGATACAATGTCACAACTGACTTCATATCAGGCTCTCATGTTGCTAAATAGCCAAAATATTTGAAATTAAAAACTTTCCCAAAAAAAAAAAAAAAAAAAAAAAAAAAAAAAAAAAAGCATTTTTGTCATTCTTTGAAAACCATCCTTGTACCTTTTATAAATTTACCCTTTTCTTGTTCAATCACACACTCAGACTTGAACCAGAAATCTTTTCCTTTTTTAATGTATAAGTTGGTATTTGCCACAAGATTAATTCACTATTAAAGTAAAAACATGAAGGAACCTATTGAGAGAAAATACAAATTGTTCTTAGTTCTTTTTGCCTTCTGTGTATATTCTGTTTCTGTTGCTCTAATAAGAAACTTACAGACATAGAAAGAATTTCTAATGATTTTGAGGTAATGTAGAAAATGATGTTGCTACCAACTCCACATAATGTTCTCATGTCGCTAGACTATAAGAAAGTCAAGAAAAGTTTCAGTAGAAAAATATCTTTATTATTATCAAAAATACTTTAAGGTACACTTATTGAACATCTGAAGCAATTGTTTTCATATACCTTTTAAAATTATCACTTTTCCAGCATGCACCCAAACATGAGATGGGAGTCTTTTTCTATAATAGAGATGTTAGTATCAGCTATATTATTAGACAAAGAATAAAATTAAAAATAAGAAAACTTTGACAGAAAAGGGATATAAAAAGTTTGTATAAACATTGATATAGTCCACATGCTTACAATATATCACCTGAGAAAAATATCTATATCATATTCAATGTCCTTTCTAAACATAACAGATCAGATATAAAAAAAAAAAAAAAAAAAATTAGGATTGGCTGTCTTACATGAAACCTAGCCAATATCCCATAACCAAATACCATGGAGCTTAGGACACTTCGCTTTGGATAGTGTATTTTAAGATATATAAACCTAGAAGTAAGTAAATAAGTAAAGAAAACCTCTGAACTATAAAGCTAAAATATATATACAATAGACATGAAATATAGAGTGAACATTAGTAAAATCCATCTATCTATATGTAACATTTCAGATATAACTAAAAATATATTTGTAAAAGGACAATATGAATAATAAAGAAAAAATGAAAACTTAATTTGCCTTGATAAAGTCCATTGGAAGATGAAACACATTAACTGAGAAAAGTTTTCCTTTTGTTTTTATTATTCAGATATATATGAAGAAATATAGTTTAATGTATGTTATATTTATGGGGTAAAGTGCTCAATATCAGAGAGAGTGTATATAAATATAAAAGTGAACATTGAATTCAGCACTCAGAGTCAACAGACTGTTTCATGCCAAGTGCAGTCATATATATATAACTATTGGTACAAGATTAAAAAAAATACCTTTTTCTTTCCTACTTTTTGTTTTCTTTCATAAATACATGCAAATTTTTGAGCTTATCCCATCAAATTCTTTACCTGCTCACCATGTGTGTCCTTGGGAAGAGGACAGATAGGATGATGATATATTCATGTCACACATATGTTCAGGTTACATATGTGTTTCTGAAATCCGCCACTTGCCTTGGAGTCACTATTTAACCGTTACTGATATACACATCATTATTATCATTAGAAGAATAATGTGTGTCATTTGAAGTTTGAGTGTCACTTGATACAGAGCAACATCTATATCTCAGATTTATATATCTATATATTCAATTCTGTTTATATCTATTTAGATTTGTTCATATCTATCACTGAAGAGATTTTGCTTAACAAAACTCCAACTTTGATACAACATTATATGGATAGACCACTATGAAAGAAATAATCATCTCGATTTCAAACTAGTGGCTAAGTTTGGTTTTTGGTTTGTACCTCCCTACCCCACTAAAGTAAGAAAAAAATGGGGTCAGTGGAACTGGGTAATTGTCACTTTGGTTAATTTGGTCTGCTACAGCACACCAAATTCATTTTTACATGGCTGGATTGTTAGCCTGTCACACAAAATGGATTGTTTTATAAAGGCTACAGCATACCAACTGCCTTAGGTTTTATATATAAGTGAAGGGAGAAATTAATTCATGCCATTTCCATAGGCATTAGTGCAAAATCAATGCAAACTGTAAACTAGAGTTTGAACTTCATTTGTTGATTCCATTTGTAATGTTTCTTTAAGCCACTTGCAACTTCACATTAAGGCAGTCTTTTGACCAAGAGTAGAGGTTTATCTCTTATTTCCTATTTACAATTAGCTTTCAGGTTCCTTCTATGGTATTTTTTTTTTTTTCACTTTCATTAGACCCTTGCCTCTTCACGGCATTATCAATTGTTTGGGGTGAATTGATTACAAAAAAAAAAAAAAAAAAAAAAAAAATTAAAAAAAAATCTCTCAATAGAGAGATTCTGTTATTCTTGGATTCCTCTAAACACATCAATAATTAATTATTTAGAGAACAAAGACCAATGGTCAAGCCAAAATAAGAGAAGGGTAGGTGGGTCTCTAGGCATAGGTTGATGATTTTAAGTCCAATTCCAACTACGCCATCTGTAAAAGGGTACATTTTGGTAAAGAATATTTAT